CATAGCCAACTGCGAACAAAAATCAAAGATAATTTTTTGCCAAAATATTTGGTTACAAATATATATTTTTTAGATAAGAAAACACCAAGCTTTTGAAAAATTTCATTTTTCACCTGATTCCCATTTAAAAAAATACAAGTTTATATTATTACGGCTAAACAAATAACTGAAAAAAAATATTAACTACAACATTAAATTCTACGTAAAAAATGTCTTTATTTTCAAAATATAATTTTTTTTTGATTTCGCTAAAATGTCAACTTCTGTCTATAACTCAAAAACAAAAAACGATAGCGAGATGCGGTTTTTACCAATATTATTTTTTCAAAAATTGAGCCCCAGAATGTATCACTCATTTTTGGCTAAACTTTTTTTTTGCAGATTCCCATTCGGACATACAAAATGCAGCACCCTGTATAAGGAGAAATGTTATCATTAAAAAGCCTATGATATTTTAGATTACAATAAAAGGTATAGAAATATAATTTTTAATTACACAGTATTTATGATATACCGTGTGTGTTACTAATTTTTTTAAAGAGTGTTTTAAAACAACTCTATTGAAACAAATAAAAATAAAACACTTTTCTAGACTCACTCTATGTATTTTTGTTTATTCAAGGTTTATAAATTGTTACTACAAGTGCAAGCATAATTAAAAGAATTCTTATCTTTTTATTTGCAACTCAAAAAGTCAGTTTTGTGTCTTTTAATCATGCACCACACACTTTTAACTTCTTTCATTTTTCTTTTTATCCCTTGTGCTTTTTCCCAAAGCTCACTTTTCGAATATGGTAGCCCCCACGGTTACCACAATCCTGATGTCCTCTCAGACGTGGTAAGTAACTTTACCGTTCTTGAGCCCAAATCACGACTTTTGCGTCCAGATGACGATGACACAAAGACATGGGTATGAAATCGAGGCAATTAGTATGACTACCAAAGATGGGTATATTTTAACASTGTATAAAATTAGATCGAGTAAAGCCCAAGGACCCATGAAACCCATGTTGATCCAGCATGGGCTTACGGCCAATACGGGACCTATGGTCGATAAGGGAAACCGATCCATTGGTATTTTTTGCTTTGTTTTTTAATGGGATTAATTTTGTGTTTTTTAAGCGTTTTATTTCGCTGATAGGGGTTGGACGGTGTATTTGAGCAATACCAGAGGGACCACTTATTCAAACAAACACGTCAACTTAACCACACATGATGCAGAGTTTTGGAATTATAAGTATTTTTTTTCGAAAAAAAAACACCAGTTTTTACGCTAAAAATTGTAGTTTGGACGATATCGCAGCAATTGATATTCCAACCCAACTCGAATACGTTTTTAAAGATTCTGGCCAAAAAGTGGTCTATGCTGGGCATGCCATGGGCCCCACTGTTGTCTTAATGTTTGCCTCACAGTTCCCAGATTTGGCGAGTCAATATCTCGAAAGAATTATAGCCATAGCTCCTATTATTTATCTAGATGGAGTCCCCATTATTGCATTATTGAAACCAATTGCAACACCACTTTTAGTAAGATTTTACGATTACTGAAAGATGATAAAAAATATTCACAACCATATACAGGATGTTCCGTTTTTATTGTTACAAATTTAAACAGATGTTAGGATATTCAATTCTAAGACAAAAGTTTCGAAAAATGCTTGGTAAGGGAGCTACACCCCCTGGAAGGGGGCTAATATGTTTTTGCCAATATTTCAGAAACCATTTAAGATAAAATTACAAAATGTGGTACAAATGATAACCTTTATTCATCTAAACAAATTCAAATATCAAATGTCGAAATTTTTAATCAGGGGTGTACGAAACTGGGGGCGTTTAAGGTAAAAAAATACCTTATTTATTTGGGCTTTAGTTTCTCGGTACTTTCAGCAACAAAATCTTAAGTTCGATAGTTTATCACAGAAAAGTCTCTCTTGTGTCGATACGACTTATTGTTTTTGAATAAAATTAATTTAAAATTTATGTTACACACCAATACAACATTCAAATAAATCAGAATTTACAGAATAATAAAAGCAAGAAATTCATATTTTTTAATCAACCTCAACTAATTAACATTACATTACAGTAACAATCAATGAATTTGCCTAAATCTAAAGGAGTTGTTCAAAGTGACCACCATTTTGGTKAATGCATAACTAAAGAAACTAYAGCCAAAATAAATAGGGTYTTTTTTACCTTAAACTCTCRCAGTTTCGWACGCCCCTGACTAAAAATTTCGARATTTGATGTTTGAATTCGTTTAGGTGTATAAAGGTTAGCATCTGTACCAAATTTTGTAATTTTATCTTACATGGTTTCTGAAATATTAGCAAAAACATATTAGCCCCCTTCCAGGGGGTGTAGCTCCCTTACCAAGCATTTTTRYATACATGTTTATAGGAAWCTTTTGTCTTAGAATTYAATATCCTATCACCTGTTTAAATTTGTAACAATAAAAATGGAACACCCTGTATATTATTATGAAAAAAAGGCGCCCGTGTTAACCCACACACATAAACGATCTTTTATTAAAGATGAATTCGAAGACCAAAATTGGATTTGTGCTCTTATCAGTATAATATAGACTTTCCTTTTTAGAAAAGAGAAATCTAAATAATTAACAGTTTTAAAATAATGTCATTGTTAAAGTCTAGATTTTGATACAGTTGACGGTGTTCTAAAAAATGTGGAAAAAGTCTATTGAAATAAACTTTATTGAAGATGTTAGGATACCATTTCTTGGCTCCAAAGAAAATTTATCAATGTTGCAACATTGCAAATATCCTAGGATACAGGAAATGTCCAAGTAATATTCAATTATTGGAAACGGTAGCAACAAAAAAATCAATTTTCAATGTT